CCATTATCACGTCGCAGTATGATTAAATTATGCGAGATCCGCGACGATGATGAGGCAAACAGCGAGAAATAGGGAAAACGAGAACACCACCGCCACCAGGCTTAGGGGTGGGTGGGTGGTGAAAAATTCGTACTTCGAAGGTCCAAACGACGTTATGCAATGAGTCATGTGTGTTGACTTAATTTATACTGCTTGGTGATAATTTATTCAGTGAGAATAGATGTACGGAACTAAATTAATGTAGAACTAAATAAATGTGTGGTTAGGTTAGTTAAAGCTGAGTTCAGTTTGGTATAGTAGGAGACTTGAATGAACTGTTTACCACGCACGAGACACATTTTGAGACACAAAACCTAACTAAAATGTAGCGCTTTAAACTAGAAATTTGCTGAAAACTAGATTTTTTATCTAGTTTAAAAGAATCGTTTTAACCAAGAATTTTAAATACCTTCACTTTCTGCTGTTTCTAAAATGTACCTACAAAATCAAAGAATTTGAATCAAAAAACCCACAAATACCCCACTACCTCTCTATACTTTTTAATTTCAATCTTTTTAAAGAGTTTATGTAAAGTAATGCTTACGAAAAGAAGTATTTTCTACGCGTAAATATAAAACTGAGTCAACAATTTGAATACTGCGCCTTATACATGAAGACCATTTAAATTCCAACGAGATGTTGAGACAATAAGCTAGTTGATAGTTTAGGAAGCGTTTTCAGTGCGCATGCACTTTTATCCCAAATTTCTCAGCTCCCTTTGTCGAAACCTTCTTTTGTTCTTAATTAACAAAAGAAGATGGAAACTCGGGATAAATCGCATGCACACTGAAACGATTCTGATAAACTGGTGCGCATGTAAACTGGTGCATGCGCTACCTCATGCACTATTCTTTTCAAGTTCAGTCTTTTTTAAAGAGTTTATCTAAGGCCCCGTCCACACGTATCCGGAAATTTCTGTATCCGCAATTTTTTTTCCGGATGCGAAAATGTTCGCGTCCACGCGCAGCGTATTCGAATCGTTTTCACTGTCCACTTAAATTCAGTAAAATTGAGAGGCCAGTCATATTTTTAAGCGAAGAATAATCGATGTTATGAATTCTTGTCCAAAATAATTTCATAGCAATGCATGATAATACTCGTGTTCAGATATCGTGGCCCGTCAAGTTGCTTGAATTTGAATGCGCGCACAACCTTGAGAAAACGGTCTCAGGGTTAGGGTTACCCTTTCCCCTAACCCTTGAACTTTATCATTCATAGGATAAGATTAAGTAATTAATATAAGTACATAATTTTCCTAAAAGGGCTAAAAGGAACAATGGCTGTTTCCATGACATTGGTGAATCTGATGACACAATTAATAATGTTTTTGTTCACACATCTTTTTGGTTTCCCTGCACACAAAGTTTCAAGGGGTTGATAGATTTTCATATCAAACCACAGGCTAACCACTCTAATAAATGAAGGAAATACTCTAATAAATGAA